CACACACACACACAGTTGAACATATTTTCCCGCACATAATCTCACAGTCACATGCTTGCTGGAGTCCATCTCACAATTACACTTCAATAGTAGCCATTTACATGTACATGCAGCAAGATGTGAGAGTTGCCCCAGAGTGACTAAAGGTGGTGCACAAATGCCAATGTGGGGAGATCATTTTAGGGTATAGATGTACACAAGCCAATAGGGTCATTAACTTGTAGATTATATTTTTCCCTTTTTTCAAGATAAATAAATCAAATGAAAAACACACTGACATCTTTCTGGGTGTCATATAGGCAACTGCCTGGAGGGTCCACTTTTTATACTTCCTCTTTCCTATGACACCTTCACTTTGCCCTGAGGGGCCTTCTCATACAAGGAGGGTTGCTCCTCAGCGTTCCCGGGCAAGGGCTTCTTCTCAGAAGACCGGTCCTCAGGCTTGCGGGCGATCAGCAGGCGGCAAGTGAGCAGGATTCCAAACACCAGAGCATGGGCATAGCGTTTGAGAGGATCACCAACCAGCTGATGGAAGAAGAGCACAGCCAGAACCAGCAAGAGTAGAAAGAAGTTGGCCACATCTTTGGGACGCCCAGGCACAAGGGTCATGACAATGCCACAGGCCACCTCAAGGGCACCAATGCTTTTTCGGAGGAGAATGGAATTGATCCCCATTTTCTTCAGCAGAGGGAGGGCTCGGACATAGCTCTTGTAAGCACGTTTCTAGAATGGGAATATCATAAGGAAATCACTGCATTAGCCATAATTTTAACATTAGAACGAAAAAAAGTTCTCCTTCACCACAGCCAAAGGTGTAACTTTGTCCCCTAAATAAAAGTTATAGTTAAGAAAAAAGCAAGCAATCTGCTGGAATCCCTGTGACTTAAACCTTAGTAGCATCACTGCTATAGTCAGAATGTTTGTATCCCCTCAAAATTCATGTCAAAATCTAAACTCCCAAGTTAATGATATCAGTAGGTGGGGCCTTCAGGAGGTAATTAGGCCATAAGAGCGGAGCTTTCATAAATGGGGTTAGTGCCTTTATAAAAGAGGCCCCAGAGAATCGCCCTACTCATTCTGCCATGTGAAAACACAGAAGGTGCCATCTATGAACCAGAAAGCCAACCCTTACTAGACATCAAACTGCTGGTACATTGATCGTGGACTTCCCAGTTTCCAGAAATGTGAGAAATTTCTGTTGTTTATAAGCTACCCAATTTATGTCATATTGTTATAGTAGTCTGAATGGACTAAGACAAGCACCAAAAATAATAAGGCAGATAATTTGGTTTTATAGTTTTTAAAAATTCTGATTTATAATATCATAAATTCTGATCATAAATAACACTAAGAATTTTTAAAATATTGGGTCCATAGAAACTGGCATATGTTAACCACACTAATATTTTCTAATGCCTGCTTTGTCCAAACCCAGATGCATATGAGTACCAAACAAAATGAAACAAGGCAAGGCACAGTATGGTAAAAATCTCACTAATTTGGATTTCCCTAATTTGGAATCTGTGATACTTTAGAAAAGAGCTGAATTGCAATTTATGTTTGTGGATCTACAAAATAAAAGTGTTTGCTGAGCAAATAGAAAAATTAAAATGTATACAAATTTTAGCCTCTTATATATCTTTAAAATATAGTAAGACAAAATCATTCTCCTGGTCTTTGAAATAAATTCCCAGACCTTTATAAGAGGCTACTTTGGTTAGCCTAATTCATTAATTTTAATTCAACAAATATTTATTGAACACTTACTATGGATTATGCATTGGAGATACAGAGATAAATAAGACAGGGTTAAGAAGCTCTTAGTCTAGTGGGGGGAAACAGATACATAAACATTACAGTAAGTCCTCTACATATGAACCTTCAGGTTACAAACTTTAATGATGCACACTTGTTTTTTTATGTATTATTTCTCTCCACCAGGTGTCAGTGTAGCCTGCTAAATACATACAGCACTATATAGCTGATTGTGTTAGTTGGGTACCTAAGCTAATTTTGTTGGACTTAAAACAAATTGGACTTACAAATATGCTCTTGGAACAGAACTCATTTGTATGTTGTACAAAGCAGCACACTTAGTGGTACATAATAGAGGTCTATACAAGATCCAACGGTAGCCCAAAGGTAAACATTATAGGACAGAGGAGGGAATCACTGATGCATTAGAAAGTAATAGAATGATATTGATTTTAAAATAATAGATCATTTATATTGTTTGTTATTCAGATTGACTTGACCCTCATTTTAGAGTAAATTGATGAGATCTTATCAAGTGTCTTCTTGGGTTGGCCCACTGCTTTGTTTTCATTAATTATCAATTCATTCACTCAATATTTATTACGTACCTCCTTGTGCTAGACACTGTAGTAGGTACTCTGGACATAGGTATTAATCATTCAAAGGTCCTGTCTTCCTGAAGCTTGAAGTTTATAAGGGGAAGAGCAGATATGTAAATACGCAAGTGCAATAAAGTGTTATGAGTGCTGGATAAAAGTATATAGTGGGTACAGTAGAGTTTCACCATAGGGAGTAGTCAAATCTTCCAGAAAATTGGGAATAGAATCTTAAAAGAAGAGCAGGTGTTTGCAAGATCAATAAGAGAAGAAAATTGCAAGCAAAGGAAGCTGGATGAGCAAAGACCCCAAATAACAAAATAGATGAGTGTACTGCAAATACTGCCTCAGTTCTGCATAAGTTGAGGGAGGGAAGGTAGGAAGGTGAACATGAAACAGGAGAGATAGATATGTATCAGATTGTGGAAAACTATAAGACTGTTCTTCTGTGGAGCTGGGAGTTTGTCCTATAAGCCAGGAGGAGCAACATAATCATTTGCTTTCTAAAGAAAGGTCCCTCTGGAAATAGTGTGGAGAATAAATTGGAGGAGGTATGCCTGGAAACAAAAAGATCAGGTGAGAGACCCAAACTAGCATAATGACAGTGAGGGTCAAGGGAAAGGGACTGAGTCAAGGATTCTTTGAAAGCAAAATCAACAGAACTTGGTATCTTATTGGATGTGGACACTGAGGGAAAGGGAGGAGTCAAGATTCTCAGATCTCTATGATCCTGGGTGTCTGGATAGACAGGTGTTTCCATTCTTCAAGTATGAGTACATAGCAGGAGGAAAAGGTGTGGGGGCAAGAATCAGGAAGGAATGAGGAACTCAATTTGGGTTTTTGTTTTTTGTTTTTTTAGTTGAATTGAAGTATCTCTAGAACATCCAAGTGGAGATGACTGGTAGGCAGCTCAGTAAGAGAAGTCAGGGCTAAAGATAGAGAATGGATAGTCATCAGTATGCCAAGGGAGGGTATATACAATGGGAAAAATTGTGACAGTCATTTAAGAAATGGGAAGAGAAAGAGAGCCCACAAAGCAAAAGAAGGTAGGTTCAGAAAAACAGGAAAGAAACCGGGAGACTGGGTTATGGACACCAAGAGGAGTTTTAAAAAGGAAATAGTCAAAAGTGCCAAAAACAAGACAAGTATTATAAGAACCAGGCAGAAAGCCAACTTGACCTCTCAGAAGCACCTGGCACTTAAAATAGTATTCACACGCTCTAGGTTTGGAACAAATGTTAAGTCGTTTCTTTCACATCTGGGCAAGTGAATGCACCTTTAGTTCATGGATTAATTTTCATGAGTGGCATAAGATAATCCTCTCTGAGGACTGCTAAAAGACAAATGGTTTAGTGGGAAAAGCATCGGTTTGGATCCAAATGGACTTGGCATCAAATCCCAGCTCTGCCACTTTAGACTTGGGTGTCCATGAGCAAATTATTTGACCTCTCAGAGCCTCATTTTCCTGAGCACAACCCAGACTAAGGGGAAGTAAGTGAGGCTAGTCGCCTTGAGTGGAAAATTTAAGAGGGCACCAAAACACTCATTCATCAAGGTAAATAATAAACATGATAACAGCGAATCAGGATCTTAAATAAAGACAGACTCTGACTCTGCCTCACTCTCACCTCTTCCTCACTCACCCTGCCTCACTCACCTCTTCCTAGTCTTGCCCTGCGTGTCTTCATTTAAAAGTTTCACCTCACCCTATTGTCAACCCTGTTCCTGATCATTCAGGGAAATACAAAATGTTCCTCCTTCCTCTTCTTATCTTCTTATCAGGGATTTTAAAAAGAGAAATTAGAAGTGAGGTTGACGTAGGCGAGTAAAACCCTGGGCTAAAAGGGAGCCAGACCCATGTAGAGCAGTTTAGCTGAGGGTTAGGGCACCTGGTGGTGGTGAGAAGCCCACTTCTTTCGTCTTATTATTAAGGTAAATACATACCACTGGCCTACTTCCTCCCGTTCTGCACTTTGGTGATGGTAGCAGGGAGACTTTAGGGGGAAAAAATCTAGACCCAAGAGGCTTCCTTAACACTTTTAAGTAAGGACCATTTCTAATTAGCAACACAAAGTTTCTCAAGAGGCAATCCCTAAATCCTAAGTGTAAACTTGTGACATAATGAACACAGGAGGCAAGATGAGTTTTTTTACAATCAGTTCAGATCCAAGACTTCCAGATGCTGCCTGAGTGGCTTCTGGAAACGCTCCTTTTTTGGCTAGGGCTTAACCACCCACCATTCAAGAATAGATTCTTATCTATATTATAGTGGAATCTGTAGCCTGGGGCCAAATTCCAGGTCTTTAAATCAAATTCCTATGACTTCAGTGATCTTTTTTCTCTTCATTTGGTATAACTGCATATTACTTTTTTAGTTGCTTGGTTAACCTCTTAAACTGCATCTGTGGATGTTTTGATGTTGCTGTTACCTCTTTCTTTCCTCCTTTTCTCAGGAGGAAACTGCATGTCGATAAGTCATTGTGTCAAATCTTTAGTTCAAAGCTGAGTAGGTACAGACAGAATTTATTCTCCGGGACTCCAGACAGGGAAAGTTTAGTTTATCAGAGATGGGACTAAGGTTGGATGGGTCTTGACATTATAGGAAGCCATTTATCTTTCTCCTGTGGAGTAGGATAGAGGCATCAAAAGAATCTTATTATTACCAGCTCCTTTATTATGCTTGGAAGGCTACCTCAAGTTTAACAATAGAAGGGGCACATGTCTTGTGTCTATAGTAACTAGATCTCTAAAGACTTTAATTGTACTGATAATAAGAGTAAAGAGAGTTGATGAATTCACTTGCCCAAAAGGCTCTTGGGATTCACTTTGTTAGGTCTGGTTTTTTTTTTCCATTGCAATAACCCAGACTCTAAAACTAGAGTTTTCTTATAGAGGAAGGAAGCAGGAAAAAGAAAGGTTTAGTCTCAAGTCTCTTCAATTAAAGGCAGTCATCCAGTAAGGTCCTTGGATGAAGATTCTTAAAATAAGTTGAATTCCAATTTTAGTTTTGCCCCTAAATTGCTTGGAGAAAATTACTAAGTATATTCATTACCTCAGTTTCCCCTTTTGTAAATCAAATGAGAATTCTGGAAATTTAGTCAAAAAATCAAAGTGTCATAGCATCAACTGAGGGACATACACACACATTTGATCATTAATGAACCACACAATTAGAAATCCATATTTTTTAAGCCACAGTTATTATTTTAATGATAACAGTGAGCAATCAAGCAGGTCCATTCTTGTGCTATGAGGACATATGATTCAGAAATGAGTCAAAAGCATATAGAGCCTTTCTTTAGTCATACCTTTTTTTCCTTTTTGTCATTTATTCTTTACAACACCCTAAAGTCCATGAACTCAAATTAATGA